TCTAAAGAATAATTATTGTTGGGGCCCCTGGTGCGCGGCCCCCTCGCCGCGACTAGGCCGCAGCCACATTTTCATCATTTTCGTGAGGAAGTCTCAGGCAAAACGGGGGAGTCCGGATCCGGTTGTTTTGTTGACGCCCGCTTTCCCTGTCAAAAAACAATATAAAATGACATTTCTTGTTCTAACACATCCAAACTTCAAGAATCCCTTGCAAAAAATAAGGTAAAGTGGACATTCGCGCGCGCAAGACGAAATCCTTCCAAAACCTTAGTGTTCGCAGCGATTTTAACATAAAAGCATCAAAAAACCAATGGTTTTTCAACAAAACATTGTCAAAATCTCATCCCGCGCGCTCTTGCGGATTCGTAGGAAACCCAACATTTTTTTAAACATTTCTGTCAAACGGGCTTTTGTTAGCAACTTTTTCGAACTTCTGCAACAACGGTTGCGCACCTGCCAGGGCCATCATCCCTGTCAAATAATACCATGCGGGACACATTCGTTTTTTCTTCGCGCGCGCACGCCGTCGTCGTCGGCCGCGGGGCCCTGAATAGTAGCCACGGTCGTCCGCATGCCACGAAGTGAAGTGTCCGAACGTCATAGGGCGGGAAGCTGGGTGTGGGTGGTGGCGAAGAGTCGTTTGGAAATTTGGTAGAGCTTGAACCGGCCCCCCCACAAAGTGGGGGTATTGCCCGCCTCCTATGAAAACCCTGGCACTGGTGAGAACGGAGTGTCCCCACGTGCTAGTAATTGTTATTGTTGTTGTTGTTGTTGAATTTTCATTCCTGAAGAATAATTGTTGTTGATCCCCCCCGTTCGGTGCACATTGGTTTTTAGATGGAAGTTTCCTTCCCGGGGCTCGCACCCGTTTTTTATCGGGGATCATAATTTATTGAAGCATCGCACTTTCGCTTGGGATTTCCTTGCAATTTACCACCGGATCGCGGCTCCCGCTTGATACATCTTCACAATTTATTGAAGAATCGCGCTGTCGCTTGGGATTTTCTCCGAACTTCCCACCGAATCGCGGCTCCCGCTTGATATTTATTCACAATGTATTCAGATGCCGCTCCTCGACACTCAGGAATCGCGCTCCCGCTGCATGTTGCCTGGCGGTTTAAGTAGAATTCTCGCTTCAACCGTCCGCCCACTCGACCCGCCCGTCCGGGACTGCAGTCGCCGCTCGCTGACCTTCGCCCGCCCTCGATGCCCTTCGCTGCCCGTGCTGGTTTCGCGGTCGCCTTCGCTCGCTGCCCTTCGTGGCCCCGTCGCTGCCCACTGTGGCCCCGCACTATATGCCCTTCGTGGCCCCCGCTCGCATTCGCCCGTCGTGGCCCCATACGCATGCCCTTCGTGGCCCCGCTGTCGCCCTTCGTGGCCCTCTCGCTGCCCTTCGTGGCCCCTTTGCTGCCCTCAGCGGCCCCGTCTTTGCCCTCCGCGGCCCAATATATGCATGCCCTTCGTGGCCCCCGCTCGTTCGCGCCCGTCGTGGCCCCGTATGCATGCCCTTCGTGGCCCCGCTGTCGCCGTTCGTGGCCCCCTCGCTGCCCTTCGTGGCCCCGTTTCTGCTCTCAGCGGCCCCGTCGCTGCCCTCTGTGGCCTCGGATTAATTGCCTTCGTGGTCATCGGGGCCATTCCGATGCCCCCCAGAGGTCATAGTAGGCTTTCGGGTGCCTTCCAATCCCCCCGCGCCTTGTTTCCGCACCGGTCCTCGCTCGTATCCACCTGCCCCCAGTTTTCAACGTTCTTTACCTGTTTTTTTACTCTTTCCCTTTATCTTCATTTTCATTTCGTTCGTACTCCATTGTGCTATTCTTCAGTTCTTCGCATCTCGCCCATTTCTCCCCAGGCCACCCCATCCCACCCCAACGATTCCACCTCTTCCCGCTCGCATCCCGCATTTCTCCCAAATTATTCCCAGTCCCTCCTCCAGATTCCTCCGTGTGCCCCCCGCTCCTCCGCACTCCTCCCGGCTCCTCTTCTCCACTCATTGCCGCTCCTCTTCCTGAGACCCTACTCTTGTCCACTCCATCCCAATCCACCCCACATCCCCGTGCCCCTCTCGACGCGGTTGCAGTTCTCGCTATCCTCCCGCCCCAAGCTCCCAACATCCCGCTTCCCGCTTCCTTTCAGGGTTCCACGAAATTTGTTTCTGATATCAATTTGCAGCTGTACGTCTCCCCGCGGGGGTATCCACGATCTGTTCTTTCAAGGGGGGGTGCGTGGCGCTGTTTATGGCGCGACCCATGGCGAAACATATTTTTTGACGTGTGTTGGAGTGGCTGGCGCAAACCGTGGTGCAAACTGAATCGCCATTCGCAGCGCAAATCATTGTCCCCCCTCCTTCTTGCCCCCCTCCGTTCCTCCAATCCCGACGTCCTCATTCTCCCCTGTCATCTGTTGCCCCTTCGTTTTCAAGGGCTTCGCCAGCCACGCGTGGCAGGGAATGACTACGCCCCCCAAAAAGGGGCGCGATCGAAGACGAAGAGGGCGGGTATCCAGGGTTTGGTGTATGCATATTGAATGACACGCGATCGGATAAGAACGAACAGTCTTAGATCAGTGTTGTTGTTGTTGTTGTTGTTGTTGTTGTTGTTGTTCTTATTATTA